TAAGAAGTAAGCTAACGCCGCCGCCGCCACATCACTATCCCTATGTCGAGCTTTCTGCGACAAAAACTGGAAAATCCCAATAAAACCCCATAACTCAGAAATGTAAAATCTAAAATTTATAAAATTCTAAAGGGAGCTTACGGATTGATAATTTAGTCTTAGATGCAAGATTTTTATATCAGTTGTTAGTGGCTTTGAACTAGCTGTCAGTAACTGCAAGTACTCTCAGATCTGTACTTAGTGTCTTTTTGTTGTTTGGATGTACAACTACCCGACCACATCCACTTGTATTTGTATTTATCCATCTGATGAGTTAAGCCTCTTTCAAGTGATTTTTATAGTTCGTTCTTATATTGTACTGTTACACCACTGTCCCAGGTTAGGGGGAAGGTTGGGATCCTGCTAACATGTTTAACCCTGACACATTCTGTATGTACATGTATGTGCCTGTCCCAAGTCAGGAGCCTGTAATTCAGTGGTTGTCGTTTGTTTATGTGTTGCATATTTGTTATATTCGTTCATTTTTTGTACATAAATTAGGCCGTTTGTTTTCTTGTTTGAATTGTTTTACATTGTCATTTCGGGGCCTTTTATAGTTGACTGTGCGGTATGGGCTTGCTCATTGTTGAAGGCCATACTGTGACCTATAGCTGTTAATTTCTGTGTCATTTGGTCTCTTGTGGAGAGTTATCTCATTGGCAATCATACCACATCTTCTTTTTTATATTTACATCAACAGATATAAACAATTCACCAAAGTCAAGGTGAGACAACAAAACTCTGAAATTTTTTACACGGTACAAGTTTTTCTCATTGTTGGAGATTGTACGGTGACAGTAACACCTGTAACTGCTTAAACCCATTTCTTATGCACTTTAGTTCGATAAACTCACTGAATATCATACCACATCTCCTTATTTTTATATGCATTACAATTACATGTGCATGTAATTATAAATATATATATATCAGAACAAAATTCATTGCGTCACTTTTATTTCTGCATCCTTTGGCATAATACAAGTTTTAAAATTACACAACATAAAACAACTAAATGTTATTTCAGATGAAAGTTTTGTTTCAGTTCCATTCATAGGATTTGTTAGAATTTTGTATGTTTTGCCAAGTCCAATAATTCGCTCTATGTGCACATGTTAATTGGAGACTTTTCTATCCCGTATAAGAGTTTTGGAACTAATTCTGTTTCTTTTTTTGAAAAAAGTTAGCAAACAAATCTTGCACATTTAAACCTTTGTCTGCCATCACACTGTCACCTGGATGGCTGGATCACATAATTGAACTACATTTTGTATTCTACATCTTTCAACTATTTCATAGTCACTGGTAGAACCAACATATGCATTAGAGACATAGTTGACTAAACCACCAGGCGTCGAACATACAAGTATTTTCAGTGTTTCTGTTTTGATATGATGAAAAGGTTGCCTGAGCTCTAGTTTTATCACGGGATATTCTGTGCTGTCAATAATAATCCAAGTCGTAGGAAACTTTAATTTGAAGTTGGATGGCGAAAAATGCCTGACTAAACCACTAGATGGCCAAGTGTTAGCCTCACACCACTGTTTAGGCATAAAAACAATCCATGTATACACAATATTCTTAACACTAGATTCAATCTAGAATCTAGAAAGTTCAAAGTTGGTTGTATAATGCCTCAATTTCATCAAAGTCATAAAAAAACTGATTTTCAACTGACACCCTATCAATTAGAAAATATATGTATCTCAAACAATGTGCTGTTGGACCAAGTGTGGTCAAAACAAATAAAATTTAGTATACAACTCTAAACTGGTATAAAAATGCATGGCTGTGTCACGTGTCTTCATTTCAAAAATCTCTGCTGAAAACATAGACATTGATGGTGTTTGCGTAATTTCATCTTTGAAGCTCAACATTAGCTCAGCAGTTGGTGATGGACAGTCATAAATCCTTTCTGCAGTATGAATGACTTCTTCAGGAAAACCAACTTTACAAACAAAACTTTCCTCTAGATTTCTACTACAATATTCATCAAGTTTAGTTCTTTTGTTTTCACAGGAAACTGCCCTGATTTTTCTTTTTGCGGACGATTCAGTCTCTTGCTTGGTCCAGGAAAATAGGCTGGGAATGGCAGTAGACTTAAGTCTCTGCATGGTGGATTTGCGCCCTGAAAAAGGTTATAAAACATTAGTTTTTTGATAATTAAATGAACTTCCATTAGCAATGTATACTTTGTATTACCTGGCGAAATATTAACTAGATTTATTCATTACAATCTGGATAAAACTATGTTTGCCTGATTCAATGTATGTTATGTAAATCCAAAGGACAAACAATGAGAGACTTATGCAACAAACGTACATTGTTTGTACCTAAATAACTATAATATTGATGAGAGCATGTCATTGTTTTGTTCCTGTTAACATTGTCATTGATATTTTTCAAGAAAGTCTATGAGGCATAGCTTATGCATTCCTGTCATTACTACATTAGCATAATTAGTGCTAAAATAATTCTCAGTATGATATATCTCTTGTAAGAAATCATTATAACTGTAGCAATCACCAAAAAATCTCAAACAGATCACATTGAATCGTAATCCAAAAAATTATGACGTCTTGAATTAACCACCCCCTTTTATTCTAAAACGATAATTGCGGTTGTAAACAGACTTTGGTTTATTCGCATGGCGATTACATATATAACTATATATTTCAAATGAAAATAGAGTTTTACCATGAATAGTTTCCTGCACGTAGTCTTTTTCAGTAAAATGTGCCTTGCAAACAACAGCTGATTGAGATGGACTCCACGATGAAATCGTGTTCTCGTCCAATCTGCGTTTGGGCCATGGCGTTGATCCAACTTTTCATTCTTTTTAAGTCATTTGGAAATGCATGTCCTCCTCCTCAAATGACATCCAGGTACACAACAACAAGTACTTGGCATCGTTAATTTAAAATGTAACTGAAATAGTTGCACAGTGCAAAAACCGGAAGTTGAGGAACAGGATCGGCTACCACGGCGCCACCTATTCAGGAACGATAATTTGCTACTTTATATAACTGCGAAATAACAATAACGTTAGACGGGTTCACGTGCATAAACAGAAATGCGCTTTAAATTGTATAATATAATTAATGTTCAGTCGACTCTTAATTATTATATCAACGACTGAAATGATTTATAAACATCTAGATTGCAGATAACACTCGAAATTTACCCGGGCTCTTTCCACTCGGAATTCAAATAATTCTAGTTTGTCAATCGGTTGACTGCTTATAATGCAAAATACAAATATATCAAAAGTTTTTAAAACTAACAAAACACAATGATCGTTTCTCTATTTCCCAATGTAAATGAAATGAAACAAAAAACATTTTATATCACAATTAAAAAAGAGGAGAGAATTCAACATTGCCGGATCTACTTGGAGCCTAATGACCCCCCACGTAGATAAGTTGGATATCGCGGAAGGAAGGATTAACCCGGCAACTAGAAAGGCATTAAAGCACTGCCTTTAAAAATAATGTAGGAGTTGAAAATGATACAACTATCCATAAGCCAACTGACCAAAGAACGAAGATTTGCACAATTACAGGTCACCCTTCCAGAATGCATATGCCTGGTTCGGGTTTAAAAATAAATGACAGTTTACAAAACATGAGAAGCGAAACTAAACAGTAAATCGATTTGTACCATCGTGAAATTATGAGGTCGACAAGAAATGAACTTTGTGATAATCTACTCGTTTCCCAAACCTGAAATAATTCCATCGTCTGCTTTCAAAATGCTTTTAAATGAATGTGACCGTCTTAAGCCTGAAATATATGCCATACTGAACGTTTCAGCATGTTTATGGTGAGTAAATGAAAACTGCGTCTTCCAAACAACTTTTTACTTTCAGTTTGTGTTTATCGTGACTTTCGATCTAAAAACTAGAGACGTTCCGAAATCCTGTATTGGCCGGATCAGAACTCGGCCAATACAGAAAAAAAAATCTATATTGGCCGAGTTATTCTGTATTGGCCGAGTTGACACCTTTATATTGCATAGGCAGTTTTCATCATATTAAGTCCAATAACAGTGTAGTTAATTAATAATTTTTTATAACTGCCCCAGCTGGACTGTGCTGGCAGCAGGGAGTCCAATCAAGCAAATTATGGTCAATAAACTCTTTCCAGATGTGTTGTTATGAAAATACGACAACCTTAATGCCCTTCTTAAGAGTTTAAAATCTGAAAATGTGAAAAGTAGCCAAATTCAGGTATGGGTTGGAGTCATTTGATGGTCACTACGTTAATGATATGAGCCGTAGGTATTGCCTTTTATCCTAAATACATGCATAGGTAGTTCAGAAACACAAGGCTACATGTTTGTATTGTTTAATGTCTATCGTTTTGTCATTAATATGCCTGTCTGTCTGTCTGTTTGTTTGTTTTGTTTTGGTTTTGTATTGATTTGTTTATTTAGTAACAATCCTATTGTTTGGATTTTAAACTAATAAAATTCTTATTCTTATTCTTATTCTTATTCAAGGAGGTATTATATGGCAAAAAAAAAAGTAACGGTGGCACCCATATTTTAATGTTGTGGTCATAAATGCATCCTTTGACTAGATTTAGGGTGAAATGGTCATTTACTTGGTTATTCAGAATATTTGTTGTTGAATTTTTGTGCAGTTCTCAATTTCAATTATATTGCCAGAATTGATTGAGTCGGATAAGGTCCTTAACCACTCTTTAAAGGGGATCACAACTGATTCATTTCCCGAAAATAGACATTGGTCTCATTACTTAAAAGAATTTTAAATCTAATTTTGGTTGATTTTATTTTGATGTTGCAAATGGTGGACATACTGGTTTGAATGATTGATTATTAAATAGCTTACTGTAAACTGGTTACTGTAAACTGGTTTGACGACGGGTTACAAAGATATTCTCCTTTTTTTAAATTTTCAAATAGACCTTCTATGGATGATGAAAGCCCAACTAGTGGTGTCAGTTTTACAAATAATGTTTTATAATTATGGCATTATGGCGTCACGTGATAGCAAAGCCGCTAACACTGAACATTAAAGCTACGTGAAATTGCATATGTGTATAACAAGATTTAATATCTAGGAAGTCTCATTCATGAGACTTGTCTCTACATCATCACAGTGTTTGTTTTTAGTGTTATTTTGATTATTTGTTGTGACTTCAGTAATATTGTCCGTTGTTATTTCAGTCACATTGTCTGTTCTGACCGTCATTTCTTCGCTCTGCGTTACCTTCACTAATTTCCGTTCAAGTAGTACACAAAGCGATGACGCTATAAAAAGTCCACCAACTGTATAGAACGAAGCTTTCCAATTACCAGTGTAATCTTCTAACCACCCTGAACATAATAAAATATGATTATTACAAATAATACCGGTTTAAAATGTATTAAATATAAAATTAAGAAGATGTGGTATGATTGCCAATGAGACAACATTCCACAAGAGACCAAATGACAACATGTTATCTTGTATAGAATAGTTATATAATTGTGACCTTTTGATTGTAGATGTTGTTGTCTATACACTGGCAGGTAAGCGACACAAGATCTTTTGATTATAGATGTTGTTGTCTATACTGGCAGGTAAGCCACACAAGCCGAGCTTTTGATTATAGATGCTGCTGTTGTCTATACTAACAGGTAAGCGACACACGATCTTTTGATTATAGATGGTGTTGTCTATACTGGCAGGTAAGCGACACAAGATCTTTTGGGAACACACATTTTCATGTCTGATCAATTTAAAGCTAATACAAAAAGAAGCGACTGTTTTTTTTATATCTATTTTATTTCAGCTTAGTGCATGTTATTTAATTATAGAGACTAAGAATGAATTGTAAAATCTACTTACCTAAAGAAGGATGTCCAATCAAACACGCTGTATTCGTAAAGAAACCAGATAATGGGAGTGCTGTCGGTAACATCGTCAATCCCAATGATGTGACAACAAGTAACGGTTGTAATGAATGTAAAATTCCGGGAAATATTCCTACAGTCACTGCATAAGTTATGTTAATTGTCATACTTTTGAAAAATGTCAATACGATAGCAAAAATTCCGCCCATAAACATTGTCACGATGAACACTGCCTGAACACTGAACCATTGTAAATCAATAAAAGTTCCAGAAAAAAGTCTAACAACAAATTCCGTAGCACCAATTACTGTTAAAACAACAACAACGTCATCTTTAGAAAACTGCTGACTTTGAATGTGCGGCGGAAGAATCAGAAAGTTTGATGAGTATCCAACTAATGCAAATGACATGGCGAAACAATACAATAAAAACGATTTGTTTCTTAAAGCAACAGAATATGATTTAAACATATCAATGATTTTGTTTTTCACAATAGTCAGGTTGCTCTGTTTACTTTTGTAATTTGCCTCAGATAACAGTTTTGTACTGTCAGCAGGACTGTAAGTTTTGTTAGTTGTACATATAAAGCAACTTGGTTGCCTGAAGAAACTTCCACCTACACAAATGTTGAGTAACAAACCACCAAGAATTAACATAGCACCATGTATCCCATAATGATCTATCAACTTCCGGTACAAAAAAGGATATATTAAGCTTGACAATCCCATCGATGCTGTAAGAAATCCATTAGCAAATGCTCTTTTCTTTTCGAAATAAAAGTTTATAATCGTCACAGTAGGTGGTGCAGATAATCCAAATCCTATCCCTGCCAAAAAAAAAAAAAAAAAAAAATTAAAAAAAATTGCATGCGATGTTGTCCAAGGTATACCCCACTTGTTATTTGAAATTGATGAAGAAATTCATGCTCAGTGGATATAAATAAAAATCGAAGTATCGTCAAACAAATAGTGACTGTCTCGCTTACATGGTACAAATCAACATTTGAAAATTCCTGATCAAAAAATTAATATCAGATTATTCTTAGTACAGAAGCTGAGAATTATATTACGAAAATTTCCATTATCAGTGGATATCATATCAAAATTAAAAGTCAACGTCAAAGAAGAAGTTACTGTTCGGACGAACTCAAAAATCGCTTATACAGTATGCATAAAAATATTATTTTATAAAGTTCCTGATCAATTATCAATCTATCCTTTAATACGTGACCATCTGAAATATGCCGGGGAATTATTTGATCTCTTATCTCTGAAAAAAAGAAGTAATTAAGTGTTTTATTCCAGGCATACAAATATCGCATACACTACCGCCCAAACAATGTACATCTCCATACAATACCGCCCAAACAATGAACATCATCATACACTACCACCCAAACAATGTACATCTCCATATCCTACCGCCCAAATAATGTACATCTCCATACACTACCACCCAAACAATGTACATCTCCATACACTTCCGCCAAAACAATGTACATCTCCATACACTACCACCCAAACAATGTACATCTCCATACACTACCGCCCAAACAATTAACATCTCCATACACTACCGCCCAAACAATGTACATCTCAATACACTACCGCCCAAACAATGTACATCTCCATACACTACCACTCAAACAATGTACATCTCCATAAACTACCGCCCAAACAATGTACGCCCAAACAATGTGCATCTCCATACACTACCGCCCAAACAATGTACATCTCCATACACTACCGCCCAAAATCGCCCAAACAATGTACATCTCCATATACTACCGCCCAAACAATGTATATCTCCATAATAAAATGAAAGAAAATCCCTTCAGCACATAAAGAAATCTCATATTGTAAATGTCTCGACAATGCTAGCCAACTTATAGTTTAATGATTAAACGATCTGTTTGCACATTAATATGGAAAGTTCTGTTGCTACATAATGACAGTACACGTAACGCCATGGTAACGCCATGTTAACTACTAGTTTTGCCAAATGTTGAGTCGATAAACATTCTGTCGATGAAACCATTCATGAAAATTATAATTAAGTTAAGTAAATTATGGTGGTTAAACAACAGACTATTTCGTGTTACAAATGAGTAAAAAAAATGAAGTAATTAAGTGTTTTATTCCAGGCATACAAATATCACATACACTACCGCCCAAACAATGTACATCTCCATACACTACCACCCAAAGAATGTACATCTCCATAAACTACCGCCCAAACAATGTACATCTCCATACACTACCACCAAAACAATGTACATCTCCATACACTACCGCCCAAACAATGTACATCTCCATACACTACCACCCAAACAATGTACATCTCCATACACTACCGCCCAAACAATGTACATCTCCATACACTACCGCCCAAACAATGTACATCTCCATACACTACCGCCCAAACAATGTATATCTCCATAATAAAATGAAAGAAAATCCCTTCAGCACATAAAGAAATCTCATATTGTAAATGTCTCGACAATGCTAGCCAACTTATAGTTTAATGATTAAACGATCTGTTTGCACATTAATATGGAAAGTCCTGTTGCTACATAATGACAGTACACGTAACGCCATGGTAACGCCATGTTAACTACTAGTTTTGCCAAATGTTGAGTCGATAAACATTCTGTCGATGAAACCATTCATGAAAATTATAATTAAGTAAAGTAAATTATGGTGGTTAAACAACAGACTATTTCGTGTTACAAATGAGTAAAAAAAATGCAATGGTGGTGTAAATCTAAGAATAGAGACTCTTGCATTCATCTAGCTCTCTATACTGGCATCATAGAAAACAGTCGAAATGAAGCGATGACTAGCAAATTATAATAAACATGGTCCTTTTATAGATGACTATGAGGTATGGGTTTTGCTCATTGTTGAAGGCCGTACGGTGACCTATAGTTGTTAATTTCTGTGTCATTTTGGTCTCTTGTGAAGAGTTGTCTCAATGGCAATCATACCACATCTTCTTATTTTTATATGATTGTAATATATGGGTTGTATCCAGTTTCATATTTAAGTAATTGCACAGTAAAGTGTTTACTTTAAAGTTTTAAAGTACAAACGAACGAATTGTTTAAAAAACAAGGAAGATACCAGCTCTGATTATGCATGGTATGTATTTGTTTTCATGACATATATTGTGACTATTTATAAGTGTCTTCTTCTGAAAGGAGTACGCTGATATTAATTGTACTTTTAACCTTGTCAGAAACACAAAGAAGGTCATACAAATAATCATAATAAACCCTATATGTATATACCTAGTAAACAACTGTACGTGAGATACAGCATTTCTATATTTTGAGTAAGAGAACTGGTTACCATGCCAATTGATGAAATCAATCCACCAATCATAGTACACCATTTGAATGAAAAGTGAACGCTCATTAATCCAGATACTGGCCCTGTAAAAATAAACAGTAAGAATGGATCAATCGCGTTGACACATTGAATAATCTACATGGACAGTAAATGATGCAGAGTCGAATTGTACATTATATAAATATTCGTTGCTTTCGTTAGCGTAGATATGGGGGGTAATACAAAAAAAAATTCTAAATAAGTTAGTTGAATAGTTGAATTTGCACAGGTGGTTCCCCTGCCAAAAGAATTCATTAATCGCGAAATCGCAAAAGAAGCAGCCGCAAAACTTTAGCTGATTCTCAGACCATTTTAATATCCCCGCGGACTCGCACAAATCTGAAATGTGATTATATACTGACCAGTTATGGCCATCACAAAAAACATTATACTGCCTAGGAATGCAGTATTACCAGCTCCTTCGTCGTAGGTTTGGAGAAGTTCCGCATATAATATCCCGAAGGTTCGTATAGTTCCAGATACCAGAGTATAGTTTAGAAATGAAGCTACAAGACAAAAAACAACAACTATTATTAGTGTATCCCAAAACTCTGTGAGTGTGATTGTCCTGTAAAAAAATCTTAAGGTAAAACTTTCAAATAGGGAGTGCAAATTTCCCCTGAATGTGTTTCAATCACGGGATCAAAATCTAAATGTTATTAATAAAGATTATATAGCATATACTTAAAACATTTTTTAAAAATGTTTTATATTTCCCTAAAGTAAAAAAAATGTTATCCACGTTGAAAGCATTTTGATTAAAAACTGAAAGTCAAAACATTTTACATGTGTGTATAAAACTTTGCATCGGAGAACGTCGCCAACCAAGATGAAATAAGTTATATTCAAAAGAGAATATAAAGCTTTACTTTGAATATAATTTTGGATTTGGTTAACAATATATTCTTCCTAAAAATTTTGGGATAAATTCTCAATATAGGCCGAAATCTGTCAAATTGCAGTATTTTGGCTATCTTCAGGCGTTTATAGTTTGGTGATCTGTTAAGTAATAAGACATAATATTTCTAGAATCTCATAAATAGTAAAACGGCTTGCCATATGCGTCTAACTTGTTCATGTTGTACTCACCGCATAATATAATCCAAGAAAACCCGCTGTCTGTATCTTGTAATGACATGATTTGTAGTCTGTAAGCAAGTGGTTGTTGATATTCTGATGCTATATTGCATGCACTTCTTTGTTTACATTTTCAATGTCCTAGAATTTAACTCTTTGTTTCTATTAACATCTGTGCATAACACACAGTAATGTCAATTATTGATTAATAACAAAACACACATATGTTACATTAGATATAAAATAGTGTTTAGCCACAAAATCTATATATAGTTTCCTCTTGTAAACATGCAAACACCTATTTATACTGAAAATGTAACACCAGCCTTTAATCACAGTGTCAAGTGTACGAAAATGTTATAAATAAATGTCATGTTACGCTTCAAAGTTCATTTCGTTGTAATTCTTTTCATATTCAAATTAGCTATCTTTAATAACTAAATATAAGATTTTGAACTACAAAACGAAATGAAACGTAAACATTTACAGTAATTATAATATTTGACATTCAGCCCGGCATGAGTATACGGCTTTGTTAAACAATAACTAGTTTTGTTCTTACTATTTTGTAAACAGTATTATGAATTCTAATAAAGATGGTTCATGTAAGTTCATTTCATGAATCACTCCAATGTATTTAACACCACATCAAAAATATTTGTCGTAAAGCATCTCAACAACTGAATATTTTAAAGCGCATTGGTTGCTATCTTACTAAATTAAATAAATTGACCATTTTCAAACATTTATTTTATCTAATTTTATTTTTGTCCTTTGACATGGCATTTTTTGTAATGCTGAGGAATGTAAAACATTTTTTTTTCTGATCAAGATTCAAAGATCTTTTTTTTAAACTCACCTGGCTCTTAAGAGATTTATGAGGTTATACAAATACTGGACTTCGTCATTGTCATCATTTTGTACATTGACCGTCTAAAATATTTCCTTTTGAAACTGCATCGTCAAATGTTATTAAAATTAACAGTGATAATGCATGTCATAGCATATATTCTGTAAAAAGTCCATATTCTGTTGCCACCTGATAAAAATTATGGCTGGTACAGGTAAAATAGAAGACTGAAATTGTAACGATAGGTCTTGGCTTAATTTATCGGTATATTATGGTCCGTAGGTGTTGATCCATCTCAAAATTTTCAGAGCAGTAATTAAATATCAGCTTTTAGCAAATTTTAGTTATTTTACTTGAAAACCATTTTAGATAGAAAATCACAAAAATACTCAAAATGACTTCAGACGACGATTTTTACCCTGTTGTTTTGTTAACCTGGCCTACACAGCAAATTTAGCTTTTCTCATCTCTTGCCATCCACCATCTTCGTCTGTAAATAAATAAATAAAATAAATAAATAAATAATTCTTATTTCAAGAGGATAATCCCATTAGTTAAAACTAATCTTCCTGAGAGTCCTCAAAATAATAATAACATATTTATAAGTACATACAGTATTATAATGATATATTATACACAATATACCATTGTATCTAGATAATAAATAAAAAGCATATTAATTTGCACAATTGATGAAAAATTTGTAACATTTTGTTTTAAAAGGTACAAGTGTATTACTCATTTTTATTTCATGTGGTAAACTGTTCCATATTTGAGAACCTGAATATGTGAATGTTTTCTTTAAAAAGTTTGTTTTTGGTTTCGGAAGATTTAATAGTTTTTCATCAGCTGAACGTAAATTATAATTCTGATTACCAATAAAATGAAAGTTTTCTTGTAAATAGTTAGGAACCATATCATTTAATGATTAAAATACACGTATTGCCTTTTGATATTGAATGCGTTTTTCCACATTTAACCAGTTTAAACTATTAAACAACAAACTGGATGATGTCATTATGTCAGCTTCTAGCCCTAGCAGATTTCTTTAATAACTTATTAAGTTTATTTATTCCACTTTCATAGCAACTTCCCTATATGTTGCAACAATAATCAAACAATGGCAGAATATAAGCATTAAAATAAATAATACGTATATGCATAGGTAAATATTTTCTTATCTTTTGTAATAAATTGATTCTATTTGATATTGTACATGACATTTTATCTATTTGCTCATTCCAATTTAGGTTTTTGTCGATATATAAACCGAGAAGTTTTTCACAATCTACATTCTCTATTTGTTCATCTGAAATTTGGATATCTAAACTGTTCCCAGTTGAATAAAGCCTCTGTTTTGAACCAATAATCATTGATTTACACTTTTTGGCATTTAGCTACATACAAATTTTGCGAACACCAGTTTTCAATAACATGAATATCATTTTGAAGGTTAGCAGTTAACTGAAGTACATCATTACCTTTACTATGCAATGTAGAATCATCTGCATATAAATCTATTAATGAATTTTCTATGTTCAGTGGTAAATCATTGATATATAAAATAAATAACAGAAGGCCAAGGATAGAGCCTTGTGGTACACCAGTTTTATGCATTTAGTATTAGACATGACATTATTGACCTTAACTTGTTGACTTCGTTCAAACAAGTATGACTTAAACCAGTCTAGTGTACAGTTTGAAACATTATAATATTCAAGCTTTTTATAATAAAATAATATGATTAACCAGATCAAAAGCTTTCTTTAAATCTAAAAATATAACTCCGTTTTTTTCTCCATTATCTATATTTGCTAACCATTCATCTACGAATTTAGTAAGTGCAGTTGTGCACGAATGTTAAGGTCTGAAAACTGACTGTGTAGTATTAAGAAGGTCATTACTATTTAAATATATATACAAACTATCAGCTATATGTCGTTCTATAATTTTGGAGAGACAAGGCAAAACTGCTATTGGTCTATAATTATCAGGATTACAAGCATCGCCACTTTTAAAAATTGGGCAAACTCTTGCAGTTTTAAAAATACTTGGAAATTTACCACATTTGATGCTTAGATTAAATAAATATGTTAAAGCTGGTGCAATGACATCGCTGCACATACTCAAAATATTTGGTCCAACATCATCTAAACCAGTTGCTTTAGACTTGTCAAGTTTTTTTAAATACATTTTTACATCTAAAATACTCATTTCTGGTATAATGAATTTTTCACTACCCCTTTGTAACTTTGATTTCACAAATTTGTTGAGTACATCGAAGCTTGGACCTTCATCATTATTACATAATTTGTTATCAACTATACCTTCAGCAATATTTGTGAAATGCACATTAAATGTATTTGCTAGATCAACATCATTTTGAATTACACTATTTTTATATTCCAAATGAGTGATATTATTATGTATTTTTTGGGGATTTAGACTTTTGACATACTTCCAAATAGTTTTACTATCTTTACAATTTGAGATAGCATTTTGGAAATAATATTTCTTTGCCTGTTCTACTAAAAATGTAACCTTATTACTCATTATTACTAATTTTATAATTATATATATATCCCCAATTCTATGAAAATAATCTCTTTGGTGTCTAGCGCTATTTATATCAGAACCACTCTGGTTGTTGAGTATTTTTCACCCTTTTAATTTTCTTAGGAGCATGCTTGTCTAGGGTGCTCAGAAATAGATTATACCAATAAATAATTAGCTGCTTCATCAACATCTCCAATCGATTCAATGAGATGAAAAGGAGTATTTGTTAAATTTTCAATAAATTTATTTTTATCAAATTGTTTGAATGATCTATATTCTATGGACAAATGCTCCATATTTGATATTTTTGGGTTAAGTTTTCTTGTTACGCAAACAGGATAATGATCACTGACAGCATAACTAGGCACATTTACTTCTGTAATATGGTCTACATCGGTAGTATAAATATTGTCTATAGTAGTTACACATTTATCTGTTACTCTTGTGGGTTTATGTACAATTTGTTGTAAACCATACAAATTAATACAGTCCTTCCATTTTTGATTTCCGACAACTGTATGGTCTATATGTGAATAGTTTATATTGAAATCTCCTAAATGTATAATTTCTTTATTTTCTGCTGACGCTTTTTCTATTTCTGTTTCAACTGAATCAATCCAAGATTGCAATGAACTCGGTGGACGATAAAAAATGCCTATCAAAATAGAGTTTGTGTTTGGAAAAATAATTTCAATCCATAAAGATTCAATACTACCTATTTCTAAATCGATTCTTCTCTGGTGACATACACTATTTCGTATGTACGCAATCACACCTCCGCCATCATTAATAGCGTTTCTATCTTTTCTTTCTATTTTGTAAACTTCAATTTGTAATGTTTTGGTACCAATTTCATCATTTAAAAATGTCTCTACCATACCAAATATATCAAATAATTGTTCATATTTTAATAGGAATTTTATTTCTTCAATTTTGGGTTGTAAATGTTGAATATTTAAACAACCTAGTTTAAACCCTTTTTTAAGTAACCAACTTGCTTCATTGTTTCTACTTCTATTTACAGAACTATGTGTTTTATTTTGACTCTTTCTATTTCTCTTTTGAGATTTTCCCCAATTAATATTATTAATGTTGTTTATATTACATGTACATTGTATACTACTACATTGATCACATAACAGATTTAAAATATTATATCTGTTTGAAAAATTAGAACAAGCTAAATGCTACCTCTGAATATAATCTGACTTACGTACAGAATTTGGTAAATGGAAGTCAAAAAATGGTGCTCTATCTACATTTTGTCTATTTAGCACCTTATTGTTTCCCCACGAGTCACGAGAGTTCATATTGAGATCATTCCTGTCCTTTACGTTTTTAGTGTTGACTCCTGAATGGTTGAAATTTCTTCTGCTTTCTGTTGTGTTCATGTTACTCCGTGATTGATATCTTGGTTTGATAGGGCTCCTTCTGAAGTTGTTTGTGTAAAATTGGTGACCGGAACTTTGGAATCTATTTCTGTTTTGTTGGTTCAAATGATACTGTTGCGGTTTTCCCTTGAATACTTTAATTATTTCATTTACATTTGTCAACAGCTTTATTGTTCCATATCTATTTAGATGAATGCCATCTATAGTGTAAAATGATTTAGCTATATGATCATCCTTGTAGACAAAAGATTCATAATTTGATATAAATTTGACATCATTATGATGACACATTTGTTTTAGGATTGTGTCATATTCAGTGACATCACTTCAGTGTAAACTTGTGCAAAAGTCTGGTTCTCTGAAATAAGCAAATTGGAACCAAAACTTATCATTCTTATGATATGTAAATAAAAAAAAAAACATCTGAAGGGACATAAATACACAATAATATAGAATAAAGGACACTGTTGAATAAAAATTTTATTTTGCGTTTTTGCCTGAAATGTTATTCTAATTTTATTGTATCAATTTTTCTTAAACATACCAGGTGAATCATACAGCATCCTTGGGGCCTCGGATATAAAGTAA